TAATGCCCTAATGGTTCATACGCATTCTCTCATGCCCATACACTCATGTTTGGCTCCAAGGATTCCTTTTCTTTCAGGTTCCCCTCCCGAATTCCCCTTCCTGTCACCTCCTGTTCCCCAAATTCTCCTCCCCTTCAAATTTGTCTGCCTCTTCTCTCTGCTCCTTCCCTCACATTCCCCCTCTCTGTGCTCCATGACCACAGAGACCCTAAACCCGACAGCGCTCTCCAACTTTCTCATGGTTATACACAGATGGTTACAACGGCTGCCTTTCTAGTGCTGCTCCATCCATCATGCTGCGCAGGGCTTTAGCCACATGGCTGTTGGCAGCTTGGGAACTGTGCTCTATGAAATGCACCTATGGATTGAGAACACCTCAGGCTCTCTATGGTTTAGACTTGTCCCATAGCAGACATCCAGGACCCTAATCACAAAGCATTTTCCCCACACAGCTGCCATCCTTGACCAGGGACAGGGTAAGAAAGCAGTTCAAGAGTGCATCCTAGACATCCAGAATAACTGAACACAAATGAGTTTACTATTATCATGCCTATGCTACTGATGGTAAAGTGAGGCACAGACAGGCTAGCTGACTTGCCCAAGGTCACACAGCATGTCTGTGGCAGGCAGGCCACTCCCAAATTATTTCTCTCCCAGTGTCCCAGCAAAGGATTTTTTGCAACAATAGGGGTATGTCTACACTACAGCACTAATTCGAACTAACTTAATTAAAATTAGATAATTCGAACTAAGCTAATTCGAATTAGTGCATCTAGACTTAAAAACTAGTTCGAATTAGCGTTTTGCTAATTCGAATTAGCATGTTCACATTGAGTGGACCCTGAACCGGGGTTAAGGATGGCCGGAAGCAGTGCCGAAAGGGCATCAGGTTAGGACTTAGAGCGTGGAGCTGCTGTCTCAGGCTAGCCGAGGGCTGTGCTTAAACAAAAGCGACGAGGAGTCCTGTGGCACCTTATAGACTAACTGAAGTGTAGGAGCATAAGCTTTCGTGGGCAAAGACCCACTTCGTCAGATGGCATGCCATCTGACGAAGTGGGTCTTTGCCCACGAAAGCTTATGCTCCTACACTTCAGTTAGTCTATAAGGTGCCACAGGACTCCTCGTCGCTTTTGAAAATGCATGGTACAGCATCTCTCAACCTGTTTAGTTTTCAAAGAAATCTAAATCTAAATCAGAATAGCTTTATAATTATCCTAATGCCCAAATATTCAAAAGTGACCAATATTTTTGGATGCCTCTATTTTTGGGTGTCCAACTTGGGACATTGTAAGATAATTTCAGAAAGTGTTGAGTATCTACACTCTGAAAATGTGGCCCCTTTGCTGTGTCTCAAGTTGAGAACCTAAAAATTGAGGCACTGAATGATGGTATTTTCAAAAACATTTAAGCGCCTTTTTCAATAATGACCTGAATGCTTCGGAGGTGTAAGTCATTGGCTTTGAAGGAGGTTCAGGCCCCTAAGTGCCTGAATCACTTTTGAAAATGTTACTTAAGTGCTTTTGAAAGATTTTATTTAAAATTGCTAGCTGCTTTTCAAATGTTGGCCATAATTACATATATAGACACCTTTATAAAGGAGGCCTGATTTTGTGGGGTGAAATGAATCTCACACAGCCATTGTCACATTTGATGTCACTTTATTTTCATGTGCTACCCAGAGTTTAAAATATGACGTAAGTGGTATAGAGGCCTTATGATTGGGGACAAATGTTTTGCCACTGCTGAGCTTTCAGATGGCTGGGACAAGCAATGACAACATGGTGTGGCTTTTATTGTTTTTAAAAAAGCAAAAACTGTCTGGGATTTAATAACATGAGAGGCAGAGCAACTCAAAAGAAAAACCCTTTGAGTGAATTCCACCTGCCTGCATTTCCGTTTCCTCTATTTGCATAATTACGTCCTATGTTACTCCCGTCTCCTCAGATTTCTGCTATGGGAATGAGGATCTGACCTTTTCTATCAGTGAAGCCATCAAGCTGTGTGTAACTGTGGTGGCCTATGCTCCTGAATCATTTAGAAGGTAATATCTTTTTGGTGTCTAGCTCAGTCTATGCACACTTAGAAAAGGGAAAAGAATAGCGTGAGGTGCGAGGGATAAAATGGAGTTCAGTAGAAGCGAAAGTAATGATTATGGAAGCCGATTCCAAGCATGGCTTCTTGGTTTTCAGAAAAAAATGTACACTTGAGCAGTTCACATTCTTCCACTTCAAAAAAAAAAAAATACAGCTGAGTTTAGAGTAGGTGAAAAGTGCTGTATTGTTACGTTGTCTAGTGGAATGTCTGTGAATTTAAATAAAATTCGTGTGTACTCAGCACAGTTCTGGCAATTATCCAGATTAAAACTGGTCATTACATCAATACAGCCCTAGGGTATGTCTACACTACAAAGTTAATTCGAACTAACGGCCGTTAGTTCGAATTAACTTTGTAGTGTAGACATACCCTAGGGCTGTATTGATGTAATGACCAGTTTTAATCTGGATAATTGCCAGAACTGTGCTGAGTACACACGAATTTTATTTAAATTCACAGACATTCCACTAGACAACGTAACAATACAGCACTTTTCACCTACTCTAAACTCAGCTGTATTTTTTTTTTTTTGAAGTGGAAGAATGTGAACTGCTCAAGTGTACATTTTTTTCTGAAAACCAAGAAGCCATGCTTGGAATCGGCTTCCATAATCATTACTTTCGCTTCTACTGAACTCCATTTTATCCCTCGCACCTCACGCTATTCTTTTCCCTTTTCTAAGTGTGCATAGACTGAGCTAGACACCAAAAAGATATTACCTTCTAAATGATTCAGGAGCATAGGCCACCACAGTTACACACAGCTTGATGGCTTCACTGATAGAAAAGGTCAGATCCTCATTCCCATAGCAGAAATCTGAGGAGACGGGAGTAACATAGGACGTAATTATGCAAATAGAGGAAACGGAAATGCAGGCAGGTGGAATTCACTCAAAGGGTTTTTCTTTTGAGTTGCTCTGCCTCTCATGTTATTAAATCCCAGACAGTTTTTGCTTTTTTAAAAACAATAAAAGCCACACCATGTTGTCATTGCTTGTCCCAGCCATCTGAAAGCTCAGCAGTGGCAAAACATTTGTCCCCAATCATAAGGCCTCTATACCACTTACGTCATATTTTAAACTCTGGGTAGCACATGAAAATAAAGTGACATCAAATGTGACAATGGCTGTGTGAGATTCATTTCACCCCACAAAATCAGGCCTCCTTTATAAAGGTGTCTATATATGTAATTATGGCCAACATTTGAAAAGCAGCTAGCAATTTTAAATAAAATCTTTCAAAAGCACTTAAGTAACATTTTCAAAAGTGATTCAGGCACTTAGGGGCCTGAACCTCCTTCAAAGCCAATGACTTACACCTCCGAAGCATTCAGGTCATTATTGAAAAAGGCGCTTAAATGTTTTTGAAAATACCATCATTCAGTGCCTCAATTTTTAGGTTCTCAACTTGAGACACAGCAAAGGGGCCACATTTTCAGAGTGTAGATACTCAACACTTTCTGAAATTATCTTACAATGTCCCAAGTTGGACACCCAAAAATAGAGGCATCCAAAAATATTGGTCACTTTTGAATATTTGGGCATTAGGATAATTATAAAGCTATTCTGATTTAGATTTAGATTTCTTTGAAAACTAAACAGGTTGAGAGATGCTGTACCATGCATTTTCAAAAGCGACGAGGAGTCCTGTGGCACCTTATAGACTAACTGAAGTGTAGGAGCATAAGCTTTCGTGGGCAAAGACCCACTTCGTCAGATGGCATGCCATCTGACGAAGTGGGTCTTTGCCCACGAAAGCTTATGCTCCTACACTTCAGTTAGTCTATAAGGTGCCACAGGACTCCTCGTCGCTTTTGCAGATTCAGACTAACACGGCTACCCCTCTGATACTTGACACCATGCATTTTCAAAAAATCATCTTTCATTAAGGCATCTAATGAAATGCTGCACTGATTAGGCTTCATCTGGAATAATGCTGCACTGATTAGGCCTCAGTTGGAGTATTGTGCCCCGTTTGGGCACTACATTTCAAGAAAGATGTAGAGAAATTGGAGAAGGTTCAGAGAAGAGCAACAAAAATTATTAAAGATCTAGAAACCTTATGGGAAGACTGAAAGAATTGGGCTTGTTTAATTTAAAAAAGAGTAGACTGAGAGAGGCCAAGATAGGACCTGAGGCCTTTGCTTCCTGCCAATACGGAACAGAGTAAGGCACTGAATTGATTTTGTCTGCCCAATGCAGCCTATTTGGGATTGTTTTTCTTCACTCCCCAGTGAGCCAATTCAAAATTGCAAACATGCTCACTCAGCACAACAGAAAATGGTTTCAATTAAATAAATAACCTGTTGTGGGAAATACCTAATGGACAATTGGCACAAACCTACCCCTGACAGCTGGGTAAAGTGTAGAAGCGGATGCTGCTGCACTGAGAAACAAAAAGCCTACAGCAAATATTACTGGGTCAACATACTAGATATAAAATTAAAAAAACACGTTTCTTGAGCACCAGGGGTAACAAAAGGAAGATCTGTTATTACCTAATGATTTAAGAGGCTTTTCTGCTTTCACCAGCTCTAAAATGTCCAAAATGTCCGGTGTATCTCCCTCTAGGGACTGCAACAGGTCAAACAGGCACTGAGCAGACACTCCTTTGCTGGGTCCACTATTTGTAGCATCCTGTATAAATGATACGATTGACTTTTTTATTATTCTGTTTGCATTCCAGTTCAGTTTTAATCAAGCATTCAAAGAGTTTAGAAGTTTAGTTTAGGGGCGTAATCATATAAACCAATATGCACGGTCTGATTCTGCAAACAAAGGCCAGAGCAGTAACACAGTCTGGAAACTGTATAGTCTTACTTCCAAGGTGCTCGTTCAAGTGCTGTCCTCTGCAGTAGTGACACTATATCACAAATACGCAAGGTCTCCGATTCCCTCTCTACCTATATACTTACAATCACAGAAACGTAGCATTGGAAGGGTCCTCGATTTCTGACAGGTGTTTGTCTCACCTGGTTTTAAAAAACCTCCAAAGAAATTCTACCATCTTCTAGGTGACTTCTTCTAGTACTTCGCTACCCTTACAGTTAGGAAGTTTTTCATAATGTCTAAGCTAAATCTCTCACTGCAATTTGAATCCACTGCTTCTTTTCCATTATACAATTACAGATTTATGTTAAGGTACCATTTATAAATAGCTTATAAAAGGATAATAAATGGTTAATCAATTGTTACAATCTCAAAGGTGAATAGGCGGCTTACAACAATATGTCAAGTCTGTGCCATGCTTACAACAGGGCTGTGTCTACCCTGGCAAGTTATTCCGAAAAATCAGCCGCTTTTCCGGAAAAACTTGCCAGCTGTCTACACTCGCCGCTTGAATTTCCGGAAAAGCACTGACGATCTAATGTAAAATCATCAGTGCTTTTCCAGAAAAACTATGCTGCTCCCGTTCAGGCAAAAGTCTTTTTCCAGAAAACTGTTCCGGAAAAGGGCCAGTGTAGACAGCACAGTAGTGTTTTCCGCAAAAAAGCCCCGATCACAAAAATGACGATTGGGGCTTCTTTGCGGAAAAGCGCGTCTAGATTGTCCACGGACGCTTTTCCGCAAAAAGTGCTTTTCCGGAAAAGTGTCCTGCCAATCTAGACGCGCTTTTGCGAAAATGCTTTTAACCGAAAACTTTTCCATTAAAAGCATTTCTGGAAAATCATGCCAGTGTAGACGTAGCCCAGCTGTTCATTTATTAATCCTTTATAAACCATTTAAAATAGGATTTTAATATAGATTTTAATTATATTTGGCTCTCTGCTTTTTCTGTCCTTCTGATATAGTTTGTACCTGGTATGACTGTGTCCCATTGATTGTCATCATTCCACAAAGTTTCTTTGATGCCTATTATATCTGTGGCAAAGCTCCAACCGTGCCCCATGGGTCCCGCACTTCTGGCTGATAATGTTTGCCTCAGAGCCTCACTGTGATGCTCTACACAGCCCACTGCCCTTGACTAGAGGCAAGGGTCACAGCCCACTAAGCCCTTCTCACCACAGGCTCATCCATATTATGGGGTGAAACCCCAGCTCAGACCCAGTCTCCCCTCTCGGAGGCAGACTCTGTAATGGAGAGGCAAGGGGGTGGGGGGAACCCAGGCCTACCCACTACTCCAGGCTCCAGCTCAGGAACCCTAAGTCAGTGGCAACAGACAGGGTTTCCTCTATTCCAAGTCTTGCCACCACTTCCCTGGGTCACCTCCCCAAACAATTCCTCCCAGGACTTTCTCTCTGGTACCTGGACAAGTCCTTCCTGCTCCTCCACAGCATTCTGCCTTTTCTCACAGTCCCCAGCTTCTCAGCAAGTGCACCTCTTCACTCTCAGGCCTTGGGAACCTTCTCCTCTTCCAAACTCCTTGCACGCTCTACTAACTGCAGAGGAGCTCTTAACATGTCTCAACTGGCTCTTAATTGACCCTAAGTGCTCTGATTAGACCCATATAGTTGACTCCAGAAATCTCCCAACGGTTTCCAGGTGCTTCAATTGGCCTGACAGATTCCAGAAGGTTCCTTCTGGTGCTGGGTTAGCCCTTGTTAGTTCACGCTGGGTACAGAGACTTACTCAAGCTAGGGCTAATGTACTTTTCTTCTACCACTCTCCTGTACCCCTCTGGACTGACCCTGTCACATATAATTATCATCACTTAACACCAGGCACTCAAGTTCACTCATCGTATTATTTAGATTTCCTAACATTTATATACAAACAGTTATAAAATTGGTCATCTTTTAGTTTTCCGCAGTTATGTGATATAATTGAATAGGACTTTTTTTTTTCATTTCACTGTTTCTCTTCAGTACATATCTGGGCGTTGTCAACATTTGTCCTTACTAAGATAAAGAGTTTCTGTTATAGAGCCTCCCCTATGGGATGTCTCTGTTCAAACTCAGTGCTCCTCCATACCTGCAAGCTTTTCCCTCAACCCTTCGTTTGAAGGCTCCTCTATACACTTCTTAATTTTACATGCCAACAATCTGGTTCCCTTTTGGTGTGGCTGGAGCCCATCCAAAAGGTTCCTCAATCCCCAATAAACCTAAACCCCTCCTCCCTACACCATTGTCTCATCCACACGTTGAGGCGCTGAAGTCCTGCATGTGAAACTGGAAGCATTTCAGAGAATGCTACCGTGGAAAGCCCAGACTTTAATCTTTACCTAGCTGCCTAAATTTGGCCTCTAGGACTTGTCTCCAACCTTTCTGTATGTCTCTAGTACTTACATATATCATCCCAGTAATCACAAACCCAACTATTTATATTTCTAATGATTGAATTCTCTATTACATGAGGTTCCCTACCCCAGAGAGGTATCCTTAGTGAAAGAGGGATACCATGACATCATCTGGAAGGAGGGTTATAACTCCTCTGTTCTCAATGGATCTTCTTCTCTTAGACTTCCATCCTCCTCAATAGCACAGAGACTGTCATAGAGGAATCACACCATAGCAGTGTTTCTTAAACTTTTTAAGACCGAGGAACACCAAACAATAATTTTTTTTTACATCAAGGATTTTTTCTTGAGGAGAAAAAAAAAAGGTTGGGGGGAAGTTATTGAGCAAAAATAAAGGTTGCCTGCCCCTTTAAGAGCAGCCATTTTGAACTCTGTTTTTCTCTGTGGCACACCTCCAACAGCCTCGTGGCACACCGGTGTGCCCCGGAACACAGTTTAAGAAACACTGCACTATAGTGTGCTGGAAAGTCTCATCTGTGTACTTCTTCATCTCCCTTAGCTTCTCCAGTTCAGCCATTCTGGTTTGCAGAGCCCGAACTCTCTGAAGTTCACAAGCTCTTTGCACCCAATTCACACATATGCCACTTTGCCATAAAACAGGTAACCCTTCTTGCTGCACCCAGTGAAATAAACTGCACAGCCCCCACTCTGCTGCTGGGTGTTTTTACACCTGCAGCTCTTTTTGACCAGAAATCTAGGAGCACGTTTTACGCACAGGGAACTCGAGGAGAGGAGCCACACTGGCAAACAGTTGCAGAACGAAGGGCTTGCGATGCAGAATGTAGAACTGGCGACAGGCAAACTCAATTGCTTGGCGTAACTGTGGGTTGCTTTCGTAGTCTGCATACACCTGGCAGGAAAAAGGAAAGAAAGAGTATAGAAGTGCCAATCCAAAGAGCAATACAGGGAATTCTGAAAGTCATTGTGGTCCTAGACAGCAGTATTTCCACATGCCTCTCTCCCACCCAGAATCCTGCCCTGCAGGTGTTTCATTAGATTTGTGAATCACCAGTGATTAATTTCTCTGTGGTTTGTAAACAATGCACTTACCTAAAAGCCTTTTTGTACATTTAAATTACCTCCCTGCTCTAGTTCCCTGCTGTCACGTTGCTGAATTGGAGGGAAGCAGCCAGATCGCTGCTGCACCCCTAGGTGGGGGTGTTGGCCCCAGAAATTGGTATGGGGGGAGCCATGTGGGGTATTGAATGGGAGATTATTGTTTGTTAATCTTATGTACACTATTTATGTGAGTATATAATGTCTGTGTGTGTAGGTAGGAATCTGTAATCTGTGTGGAAGCTGAATATTTCTGTGAGTGTGGTTAAGCATTGCTATGGACAGGCTGAGTAGCAAAGCCCTGTGGAACAATGACTCTCAATAGGCTATGGACACACCCAAAGAATGGGATTTGTCACCTGAGGGCAGCCAGCAGGAAACATAGAGTTTGGCCTCTGACCAGGTGACTTGCTGCATACAAGAAGAGGCCAGGAAGGGAATAAAAGGGGCCATGTGGTCGAGGCCATTTTGTTCTCAGCTCAGCACTTCATCCCAGAGGCAGCACTGCAGGGATTGAAGAGCCCGGAAGACCTGTGAACCCATCCTGATCGTAGGATGTGCAATAAGGACTTTTAACCAGCAGCTGCAACATCTCTGCTAGAGCCTGCATCGAGAACTGGGAGATTCGGTGCATGTAACGTACTGTACTTTAATAACCTTACTCTCAGGCTTTTCTTTCTTGTAATAATAAACCTTTAGATATAGATTCTAAAGGATTGGCCCAGCGTGATTTGTGGGTAAGGTCCAGAGGGTAAATTGACCAGGGATCTGTGGCTGGTTTCTTGGAACCGGACAGAACTTGTTCGGGGTAGGTGGGATTGGGTGCTAGGACCCCCCACCTGTGTATAGGCCCGGGGCCATCTGGGGCACGGATATTGCTGGGGTGTCGGAGGGGTTTTGCTCGGGAGGCTTCAGGCAGGCAGCTGAAGCGCTCTGTGAGACTGGTTTTTGGCCTGTGTGGAGAGGTCGCCAGTCAGGGGGACTGTAAGGAGCCCCGGATTTGAGCAACTCGCCCTGAGCGGACGCCCTTAGTTGTGCCCAGACACGGCCCGGTCCGTCACACCTGCTGATACATGTTTGCATGAAAAACAACTACCAATATAACTCTAGCTGTGCTCAGGCAACAAACCTCACTGAAGTCCTGCATTTGGGGTGGATTTCACCCCATTACTGATAGCCCACACTAGACTTTCTATGCCACAGAAGTGCTCTGGTAGCCTTGGGCAGGGGTTTCAGACACAGTAGCTCAGCTGCACACCAAGGAGATGAACTCAATCTCTGGGGGCAGAAAATGAACTTTTTGGGTAGACAAAAAGACACCTCATTGGCTTGTTCCTGAGGAAGTAATTGGACTATGAATTTACATTCATGGAAATAGGATCTCAAACAATGCTGCAAAAAGGGGCAAGAGAAATGTGTTGCGACTGAAGGCTACATTAGTTAATTCTCTAGGGAACAGGTTATAAAACAAATATCACATGTACTCCACGGCTGTGTCTACACTGGCATGAATTTCCGGAAATGCTTAAAACGGAATACTATTCCGTTTTCAGTTTTTCCGGAAAAGGAGCGTCTACATTGGCAGGCTGCTTTTCCGGAAAAGCCCTTTTTCCGGAAAAGCGTCTGTGGCCAATGTAGACGCGCTTTTCCGGAAAAGAGCTCTGATCGCCATTTTCGCGATCGGGGCTTTTTTCCGGAAAAGACTACTGGGCTGTCTACACTGGCCCTTTTCCGGAACAGTGTTCCGGAATAAGGACTTATGCCCGAGCGGGAGCAGAATAGTTTTTCCGGAATAGCGGCTGATTTTGTACAGTAGAGCTTTGTTGCTTTTCTGGAAATTCAAGGGCCAGTGTAGACAGCTCGCAGCTTATTCCAGAAAAGCGGCTGATTTTCCGGAATAAGTGGCCCAGTGTAGACACAGCCCACATGTGTCCAGTATCCTGATTCACACTTTCTTAAATCTTGATCTGTGATAACAAATTCATGATTGTTCTCACTGTAAGTGTATCTCAGTGCTGTGGTACTGTACAAGGAGCTGATAGTTCAAGGTGGTATGTACACTGCATTCCTGATCTGACTAGGAGTTCTCAGTGGATAAAGGGCTGAACACTGTAAAAGAAGCAGCTCTTTCGTCTACAGTGCTAGCCGGTGGGGTAGGACACTCACCTGCAGCATGGTGGGGAGGATCCACTGGTAGCCACTGAGAGAGAAGAGGTGGTTGAAGTGCACAGCAGTGTTGATGACAGTGGCGGCGTACTGCCTCAGCAAGGCACTGTCCTCTGGGTGTAGGATCAGCGCTCCATTGAAGACGTTTAGGAACAGCATGATCTCGTCTCCCCAAGGAAATTCACTGGGCATGCCCAAAAACATCTCCTCCAGGAGCTTAATCCATAGGCTTTTCTGAAGAGTATCAAGGCCAAAGAGTTCCTTCCCAGCTGCAAGAACAACGCAGGCCACACAGAAGCTAATTACTCGCCTCAGCCCAGCAAGGCATTTCCAGCGGGATAACATTCCCAAAGACCAATGGAAAAGATCTTCTGAACAACAGCTTCTACATAGTTTCCTCCAGCAAACTCGGCACCGCTTTGGCTACAGATACTTTTTAAAAAGGACTGAACCAAATTCACTGGTGGTGTAACTCTACTGATGACAATAGATTTTTGGCCAATTGAGGATAAGCAATAGAAAAGAGGCACTGGAGGAATGCAATATTATAGGACTTTATTCCTCTTTATCCTGTTAGTCTAAAATTCATTCAATTTTTCATTCTTTTAAGTTAAAGCAGACCAAAAATGTATATATCATTGGTAACTTGCCATCTTCGGAGAAGTAGGCAAGCCCTACCCTTCAGGTTACTCCAGAAGAAAACACACTACAGGATGCTGATGTGCAATTAATATGCTGCCTTCAGTGCCAGCAGTCGTCCAGTTTCGTGATCTGCTAATGCTTACCACGCAATGAAAAGGGCCTTCCAGGGCAATGGGCAGCCTAATGCACCCCAGAGTTTGACTAGAAAACCTACTCGGTTATAAGGCACCTTAGAGACTAACAAAATATATAGGATCATGAGTTTTCCTGGGTAAAACTGACTTCATCAGATGAGTTGGAGTAGACGTAACAGAATCCAAGATATGTATAGAACAGCAAAAGCAGTGACCTGTCAATTGCTGGATCTGTGTTAACAAAGCTAATTAAGTGGGCTGAATACAAGAAGTTTTCTATGTGGATCCCTTCTGATGGTCGAACCAGCCTACTACCCCTCTGAAACTTTGATTATAAGGGTTAACCTTTGAAAGGGGCATTTCCTAAATTCCGTTTGGAAAATTTTGCATATATGCTCATCATGGCTGCAGACACCACATTTACACATACAAGTTGTGTAACCATCCACACAAATTCCATTTTGGATATGCATTTACCTAATTTCCATGTGAAATGTTGCAGGCACAAAGGCAGAAGTTGCACACTACATACAAACTTTGTGAGCACAGCTTTATGTGCCTACACTTTGAAAAACATTGCATTAGCAGTGCTTGTCAGTAATCAGAGTATACCGAGTGCATGAAACTGAGGCCCTAATCCAAAGCCCAACAAAGTCAATGTAAAGCAGTCTCTCTTGTGGGCTTTTAATAAATGAACAAATGTATGCAGCAGTATCTTTACTGCTGTCACGCTCATGTCCTAATGCCTGGAAATCATATTCTTGGGTGGGGTACTTTTCTTTGACCCTTTCAGATGAGATAAATCTCTATGCTGTTCAGTCTTTTTGAGCAAAGAAGAAGATTTCCTGAATGAAGAAGCTGGTGCCAAGTACAACATGCAAACAGAGCCAGTGAAATCTTTGCCAAGTGCTTTCTCAGTACCTTGTGGATCACTGAAGAGGGAGAATTCTGCATCAATGGCACTCCGAGGGAAGGAAGGCAGGCGGAGAAGGTCTTCTTGGAGCATAGACACGTGCGATTGTTTGTGGGCGACAGGAATTTTCTGGGTCAGCGATATGAGGAACAAAACCCGTCCTACCTCCTCCAGCTTGCGGGTGAACACCTAGCAGAGAGGGAGAGACACATGGAGCATAAAGGTTGTGACACCCTTAAAGATCACCACGCCATACGTATGAGGACGTGTGCAGACCAGTGCAGCTAAAAGGAGCAGGCGGGAGGGAGTTTCCACTGCCTTCTTCATTGCCCTGATTGTTCCTGAACATGCAGCATGCCTGGGGAAGTGACACTCAGGAGCTGCTCCTTTGGAAAAGTGTGCCCTGACACCGAGGGGAGCATTTTACAACGGACAAGGAGGAGCCACTTCCAATGATGTGGTTTTGGCTGGAGATGCCCGGGTGGTGGGGAGATACCTGTTTCTGAATGAGCTCTTGCCCCTTTTCTGGATGCATGTGTACCAGATTGAGCTGCGGAGACACTGACCTCCGGAAAGGATAAATATCCCGAACATAGGTCTGCAATGGAAGAGAATAACAAACCAAGTTTTAAAAAAATACAGTTGGAACTGGGCCCAAAGCAGGGACTGGACAACAACCCTCAGTACATTGCCCTGTTCTGTTCATTCCCTTTGAAGCCTCTGACACCAGCCACTGTCAGAAGACAGGCAACTAGTCCAGACAGACCACGTGATTCCGTATGGCCATTTTTATGTTCTTCATCAGTGCAGTCGTAATAAAAAAGGCTCTTCCATGGAGAGTGGTGAACTGGCTTGGATAAAAAACCCAAAATGATGCCCACACCGACAGTCCTCTGAGCCTTCGTCCATTCTTAGAACCCCAACCAAACAAAGTCTAATACTGAGCTGCTGAAATATCTGGATAGGGGCTTCTGCTCTGTGATGTGGGTGGTATAAGAATCTGAACAGAACAGGAAATAGATTTCCCCAGACAGATATTACAAAATCTAAGATGCAGGCTTCCTTTCCATCTCTCTTTAGGGACACTAAGGCTGTGTCTAGACTACATGCCTCTGTTGGCAAAGGCATGTAGATTAGACACATAGGCAAAGGCAAATGAAGCCGCGATTTAAATGATCGCGGCTTCATTTACATTTACATGGCTGCCATGCTGAGCCGACAAACAGCTGATCAGCTGTCTGTCGGCTCAGCGCGCTAGTCTGGATGCTCCCCTGCCAACATCAAAGCCCTTTGTCGGCAGCCCCGTTATTCCTCGTGGAATGAGGTTTACCGGGACTGCCGACAAAGGGTTTTGATGTCGACAGGGGGAACGTCCAGACTAGCACGCGAGCTGACAAACAGCTGATCAGCTGTTTGTCGGCTCAGCGCGGCAGCCATGTAAATGTAAATGAAGCCACGATCATTTAAATCGGGGCTTCATTTGCCTTTGCCAAAAAAACAAATCTACATGCCTCTGCCAACAGAGGCATGTAGTTTAGACGTACCCTAAGACCTGTAATTTCCACAGGTGACAGTTCTTCATCAGTGATGATACGCTGGTCACATACAGATCTCTTGCTATATTCTAGCCACTCCCAATATTCAGGAAGGGATGAAGAAAGAACAAAATCAGATGAACCAGGCCTTTACCTCACCTTATTGTAATGAATAAGATTCCATCGTTTATCCATTAAAAAATAATGAGCAGACTGGGTTTCAGGTATGTTAAAAAACTCCAAGCACTCCTAAGGGGGAAGAAACAAAGAGCAACTTGTTATTTTTGAAGAAAGTTGTACGAGACAAAGAACTTAATACCAGTTATTGAGGGACCATTCCCAAATGCCTTGCTAAGGTTGGTACATTGCTCTTGAAAATGAACAGACAGGTAGATACATACTCCCACTTCAGTGTTCCTAAAACCTGTTGGACTGACAACCTTGTGGACTGATGTTACTTGTGTTTGTTCATAGAACAATTACTTTTGCCTCCACACTTTTTCTGTCTCTATAGCGGCATCATCATATGGTTATTACTGCCTCCTCTGATACCAGCCCTAAGCACCACACAAACATATGTATTTATTCTCACAATACCCCTTCCAGGTAAGGAAGTACTGTATTACAAAATGTGGAAATAAGGCCGAGAGAGATAAAGGTTATATCTACACTTAGGGGCTACGTCTAGACTACATCCCTTTTTCATCGCAATTGCTAATGAAGCGGGGATTTAAATCTCCCCTGCTTCATTAGCATAAAAATGGCTGCTGCTTTTTTTCCGCACGGAGCTTTGTTGGAAAAAAGCGCCAATCTAGACACTGATCTTGCGGAAAATAAAGCCTTTTCCGAAAGATCCCTTATCCCTTATTTCATAGACAAAGCTCCGTGCGGAAAAAAAGCGGCAGCCATTTTTATGCTAATGAAGCGGGGGAGATTTAAATTCCGTGCGGAAAAAAAGTGGCAGCCATTTTTATGCTAATGAAGCAGGGGAGATTTAAATCCCCGCTTCATTAGCAATTGCGATACGTCTAATTTACATCCCTTTTACGAAAAAGGGGTGTCGTCTAGATGTAGCCGGGGGTAAAGTAGATGATAGACTCTTCATAAACCACCTTAACACAGGTATAAACAGCAACAGAGACTCTAGGGAGTAGAGCAGAGTTCTCTGAATTCCTAGAGCCCTGCCTCTCAGCTCTACACTGCTATTTTTCATAGAATCATAGAACTGGAAGAGACCTCAGAAGGTCATCAAGTCCAGCCCTCTGCCCAAGGCAGGACCAATCCCAACTAAATCAACCCGGCCAGGGCTTTGTCAAGCCAAGACTTAAACACCTCTAGGGATGGAGACTCCACTACTTCCCTAGGTAACCCATTCCAGTGCTTCACCACCCTCCTAGTGAAATAGTTTTTCCTAATATCCAACCTAGACCTCTCCCACCACAACTTAAGACCATTGCTCCTTGTTCTGCCATCTGTTACTACTGAGAACAGCCTCTCTCCAGCCTCTTTGGAACCTCCCTTGAGGAAGTTGAAGGCTGCTCTCAAATCCCCCCTCACTCTTCTCTTCTGCAGACTAAACAGACCCACCTCCCTCAGCCTCTCCTCATAAGTCATATGCTCCAGCCCCCTAATCATTTTGGTCGCCCTCCGCTGGACCCTCTCCAATGCATCCACATCCTTTTTGTAGTGGGGGGCCCAGAACTGGACACAATTTTTAGCATTTTTTACATTTTTAGCAGTGTAGTTTGCTGCTTCCTCTCTGCTGTCAGACTTTAGGAACACTGTGTCTGTCTGTCTATGCCTTTACTGCTTCAGGGAAAGTCTGAGTTACTACAGAGAATTCTTTCTCAAGTGTCTGGCTGGTGGGTTTATTTTACTTTGTTTACAAAAAACCTGGCCTGGTGCCTTCATCTCTTATCTGATGTGTGGTCACTGGGGGTTCTCTTGGGGTCTGCTGTGCTGGCTATCTGTGCAGAGCTAGGGCAGCACACAGAGGGAACACACGCACACAGCCGAATGGTTATCGACATTTGACAGAGCAAGATGTCTCTCAGGACACCACATCAGTGGCATCCGACAACAAATCTGTTTGGTCCTTTACTTGTGTAGATACTCAAGCTGGTCACACCCAGAAGGAAATGAACACATGCACATTTCAGTAAATAGTTAACTAATTTATCCAGCAAACTGTATCTGACTAGCAGCAGTCTGTTGGCCCCAGAGTTACACTTGTGGGGCTTGGCTGGCAATGGGATCGCCCGTAGCCCAAGGTACCAAGGGTGGGAGGACCCCACCCCATTTTTCTACAGTAGTGATCACCCCGCTTGTGACGGAGCAGGTATCAGAGCCATGTTCCTGTCCACCACCCTAAAATCAAGATGTTTGCAAGATAGTATTTCTAAAACTTAGATGTGACCAGCAGAGGCAGCTAAACGTATCAATGCTCTGCTAAAAACCTCATTCCCACCTTCAGAAGAGCTTCAAATTGTGTGTCCTCATGCACTGGTAACTGGGTGGGGATGTCACACTCGTTCTGTCCATGCACTACCAGAGTCTTGGTGCCTGCAGCAAAGAGGAGCTGTCATTCTCTTGCTTCTGAATTTTCGCATAATTCATATTCTATTTCAATGGGACTATTCAGAGTAAGGTTACTGGGTGACATTCATCCGGTGAGGAGCCAACACAAGACCCAGGATCTGGAATCCACTATGCAACACTTATACTTGCATTTAATGAGAATTAGTCTTTTCTAAGGGTTTACAAGTGGTTTTAACAGTAACAGTTACCCTAAGGAAGAAATACATATGAAATGACAACTCTGTTTTTCACAGCACAATCTCTTGTCTGACTCAAGAAGATGTGGGTTATTGCTGTATTCTCTTGGGCTATGTCTACACTGCAGGCTTATCTGAAATAACAGAGTGTGCGTCTACACAGCAAACGCATTATTTTGAAATAATTTTGAAATAACTGTCTTCTTACTCCAACTTCTGTAACCCTCATTTCACAAGGAGTAAGGGAAATCAAAGGGAGAGTCCTTTGACTTCCTGCTGTGTAGACAGGGCCAAAAGCCGAGTTCAGCTATTTCGACTTAAGCTACGCAATTGACATAGCTGAAGTTGCGTAGCTTAATTCAACTTTTGCCCTGTTGTGTGGATGTACCCTTAGTAATTAACTGCCAGCATTGCCACAATTTACATTGGAGGATTTCAAACTGAGCTAGCACTAAATGATCAGACTTGGCAGTCCATCAGGAATCGACTGGCACATGGTACCTTTTGGAATAGAGTATGTATGTCACTTTTTGTTTACTTGCCAAAGGCGTTCTAAAGGGGCTATGAACTGTTCAAGAATTATTTTCAATCTGGTAATTATTTAACAGAGACCAAATTCAAGGAGGACTGGCTTAAAAATGTCTGGTGATATTAAGAGGGAGCTTCCACTGACCTTCTTCCAATGGACCTCAAACCAGCAAGTCAATATTTGATGGGTATCAGGAAAGTAATATAGAATACAGAAGATAGGTAAAGGATCTCTTAAAGATTGTACATCTCCCTACCTGGCATTGAGGCAGTCACCAACAGTTTTACTTCACACTGCTCCTTCTTCATAGTCTGTTTGAGATCCTTGAAGAACAGGCCCTCTACATAACCCACCACTTCCCACAGGAAGGTTAGTGTGGCTGAAATAGCATCCATGCCCCATTCACATGGAGTACGCACAAAATACATGATCAATCCCACCTGCAGGGCACAAACAAAAGAGTGGTACTCAAACTGCTTTGGTTTCTACCTCACATTGTTCTTACTGGCATTCATCCTGCTTTAGCCAATTCTGTGTCCCATGTTCCATTATTCTGGGGAGCAGTCAATTTGTGATCAACCCAAGGCAACCATGTAGATCAACCACCATGGTCCTTTACACCCCATCTCTATAAAGTGGAGGAAAGAGAGGATCTGGGTAGCAGTGTATAGGGGGGACCAGGGAAGAGGAGCAGGGACCTGGAGGAAAACAGCAAAGCAGGAATTGGGAGTGGAGGAGGCTCTGAGAAAAGGAGGGCAGGAACAAACTAGGAGGCAGGAACTAGTAATAGGGCAGGCAGGTAGACAGTGTTCAAACTGGCAGACATCTAAGGATTCACTGAGGGTATGTCTACACTACAAAGTTAATTCAAACTAACAGCAGTTAGTTCGAATTAACTTTCATAGGCGCTACACAGGCAAACCACTAGTTCGAACTTAATTCGAACTAGCGGAGCGGAGCACTTAATTCGAACTAGGTCAACCTCATTCTACAAGGACTAACACCCAGTTCGAATTAAGCAGTTAGAATTAAGGGCTGTGTAGCCACTTAATTCGAACTAGTGGGAGGCTAGCCCTCCCCAGCTTTCCCTGGTGGCCACTCTGGGCACAACCAGGGAAACTCGTCTGCCCCCCTCCCAGCCCCGGGGCCCTTAAAGGGGCACGGTCTGGCTACGGTGCCCATGCCAGGTGCAAGCCTGCCAGCACCCAGCCAGCAGACCCTGCACCTGGCACAGCACGAGCAGCCACCCGCTACCACCCAGCCCTCTGCCTCTTCCCGGGACCAGGCTGGCGGCTCCCAGGAGCCTGCCCA